AAAATGCTAGATAAGAGCTGGATTTTACTGTTCCCACTGATACTAGAGTAACAGCCATAGTTCCTCTTTGGTGCTCCTAAGCACTCATGCTTCAGGCTGCTGGTTTGAGCCAAGGGGCAGGCTGCTCAGCAGGTGTTCATTAGTGGAGCTGCGCTGACTTCCACCAGCTAAGGATCTGGCTTGGGGAGCTCCCCTCCACCAGCTGGAAGATCGCTCTGGTTGAAGAAATCTCTTGCAGCCCAGTGCCTTTTGTTGTCATTCCCCCGCTGCACGGGGCCGCCAGATTCTCATCTGCAGGAGGAGGTTGTTCTCTCTGGATGACAGGAGTTCTGGGAAATCTCTCTGCCTTGGCAGTTGTGTGCTAATTACTCTGACCTTTGCTTAAGCAGGGGATCCTTCAGCGGCAGGCGAAGCATCAGCCGTGTCATTTACTATGCAAATTGAGACCATCAATTATGTCCAAGAGGTCCCGGAATGTTTAATTTTCTTTCTCTTTTCTATTTTTTTTTACTGAAGCCTGCCAAAAAAATTGCAGCAAGGTGCTGTTAGCTTTTGGCGGGGCCAGGGCTGGCAGGCATTCAGGGTTCAAGCCCTGTGGGCAGGAACGTGGTTATTCATCCCATTTTCTTCTCATTCATTCTCTCTTTCTTAAAGTTTTAATTAGCTGCTACTTCAGATGCCCAGCAGATTGGCTTGGCGAGGAGGTTGCGGAGAGCTCCCCTCTCTGTGATCAAGAGGTCACCCTAGCTCAGTGAGGAGCGGAGGAGCTGCTATCCCCAAAGAAGCCAGAAAATCATCTGGCCCCATCACCTGTCTGCTACAGCGAACAAAGCCAGATGCTTCAAGGGAAGGGATGAAACTCTTCCAAGGTGTGAAATGCTTCCCTCCATGGAGGCTCCTGCCTGAGGTCTTGTACCATTTAAACTGCAAGGACTTGAGCCTGGTGCCGGGGTGGATTTCACCCAGGGTGCGTCTACACAGCACCCTTAGCTCAAAATAAGCTACACAATTTGCCCTACACAGTGCCAACTTTTGAAATAATTCGCTATTCCGAAATTCCCCTTAACTCTCATTTCCTCCTGACCCAACAGCGGCCTGGAGCATGAGGGTGGAAAGCCCTATTTAGCCTCCCTGGCATAATTGCTGGTTAGAAACGAAGCCCATTTCTCCTGGAATTCCAGGTGGTGACATCAGAAATTCATTTGCCCCTGTTAGGTATCTCTCTATATTATTATTATTATTATTATAAATATCTCATAGACCTGGAAGGGACCTTGGAGGTCCAGTCCCCTGCCCTCCTGGTAGGACCAAGTCCCAGCTCTGACAGATTTGCTCCAAATTTGCTCTCAACCCTTGGTTTATCAGGCCAATACTCAAAGCACTGAACTATCCCTCCCCTCCCCCAGAAGGTGTCTGTTCTGTGTTTGTACAGCACCTACCACAATGGGGTCTTACTGGATGATGGGGGGGACGAAGGGGGAGACGAGGTGCGACCACAATACAAACACACATAATGGAAACAATTATGATATATTTCAAATGGGCCCAGCGCCGGATTATTCCAGAGCCGTTAGGTAACTAGAACAGAACATCTGTGGTCCATCGCTAACCAGAGTAGGGACTAAACGGGTGATCGCCCATTTCTGGGAGGACAGGGAGCTCAAAACGGAAAGGGCCACACTTTGGGCGATAGGTCTGAAATCCAGAGGGTGTTGAGCCAGTTTATATACTCCGTTGCAAGAAGCAGGGCAGGGACTGGACCTGCAACAACAAAGAGAATCCGAAATGATGAACGCAAGGGTGGGGGCAGAGGGATGCTGCTTTGAACTCTGAGGTTGTGGAGAGGGTGAGGGCAGAGGAAGGCTTGGTGGAGACACCGGCGAGTGGGAAACTGCTGAAGAAAGGAGACGGAGGGGAGCAGCGCCTTGAAATGACAGACAATGAAAGGAGTAGGTGGATGGGAGAGATTAGCTCTCGAGACGCCTGATCGGCGGCAGCGACACGACAAAGGGATGACGATACACATCAAAGCGAGGCGTGAAAAAACAATCTGAGGCAGTGGAAATACGGGGAAGATTTTTGTCTCTTCCCCGGGCATGTACCCGGGGGGGAAGAACCTAGTGAGCAAATCTATTCAGAGCACTTGGGGCCCACCCCACTGCCCACTGCAGACAGCCGATGTCAGCCCTGGGTGGGGGCAGAGGGAGAAAGACAGCCCTGTGGCAGCCACTGGTGCTTCTGGCTGAGCAAGGGCACATGCTCACGATGGCTGCGCGACATAGTGGCGATGGGAGCCGCTCTCTTCGCTTGTCGTATTGCATGGGGTTTCTACTGTCCTGCGCTGCTCTGTTGTAACTCTGTGCGTGCGTACTGCCTCAGTTTCCCTGGTGCCCAGCTGGGGATGGGAGGTTTGGGTGAGACTCTGCCTGGGGGGAGGCTGCTCAGCTCAGCACCTACACAACGGCTCAAACTCTCTTGTAACCTGAGCCTCGGTGGGAGATGCAATCAGGTGACACTTTTGCCTCCGAAGCTGGACCAAGGCAGGGTTGGGCCTGCCTACACGGCTGGGACCAGTTGCTGAGTGTGTGAGGGAATCTCAGGGGGCTTAGGATGCAGGGAGGGGGCCCATGGCGCTGGCTCTGGGCCACCCTCTCCCCAGGATGGATTGGTCTGCCTGCTTCTGGTTCCTGTGGTAACAAGTGTGTGCTACGCTGCATCCCTGCAAACCTGTTGTGCCCGCTGGCTGACAGTCACGTTTGGCTACAGATGGAGGGCCGGGCCCGGTGACTCCCACACTCTGTGACAGGTTGTTTGTTCCAGTAACACGGAGAAGGCCATGTGAGGTCATGGCCCTGTTGAGGTAGGTGCTGCGTGCACAACCCCGACACACACACACAGCGTGTCCCCCTGCCTCAGTGAGCTCACAGTCTATAGACCAGACAGACACAGGGTAGGAGAAGAGCTGAGCTCAGGTCTCTTGGTGCTGCTGCTGATGATTCACTGGGTGATGTGGGGCAAGTCACGTCCTCTCTCCCCATCTTCAGTTCCCTGTCCATAGCACGGAGATGGCCTGATGGCCCTTCACCCATTGTCATCTGCCTAGTTTGCTTAGTCAGTGAGCTTTTGGAGGCAAATAATTCTCCTAAGGAATTTATGAAGCTTTACTGACATTCAGCTTCCACACACACATTCCTATATTAGGCTCGGAGGCCACTTGTTACTGGTCACAGCCAAAATATCAACCTGCGTGCAGCCCATTGGGGTTCTACGTGTGCCCACAAGTTGTTTTGTTCACCATTGCCTGCGCACACGGTCCCCAGATTCTGCTGCTTATCATCAGTGTCAGAGTTTTCTCCCGTTAAGGCTAAAGTGGCACACATGCAAAGCAAGGGCACGTCACATGAGGTGGGGGCTCATTGCACACACTGACCGGGAGAGCTGCGCGCTCCCTCTGCAGCCAATCGCAGCACTGCTGCCGTTCAATCAGCACCGCTTGCGAACTCCACACCTAGGCTATGTCTACACTGGCGGGTTGTTGCGCCAAAAGTATGCAAATGAGGCTAAGCGTGGAATATCGCCAAGCTTCATTTGCATACCTAATGAGTTGCCATTTTTGCGGAAGAGGCTGTTGCGCCAGAAGGAGCTGTCTACACTGCCCCTTCTTGCACAAGAAAAACCCTCTTGCACAATGCTGCTACGCTGATTATTTTCAGGAATAACGGCATTGCACAAGAGGGCTTTTCTTGCTCAAGAAGGGGCAATGTAGACAGTGCCTTCTAGCGCAAGAGCCTTTTCTGCAAAAATGGCGGCTCATTAGGTATGCAAATGAGGCTCGGGGATATTCCACGCTTAGCCTCATTTGCATACTTCTGGTGCAACAACCCGCCAGTGTAGACATAGCCCTAGTGTGGTTCGCTGTCCCATGTAGTGGCTCTTGGACCACTTACAGTGAGAGAGAAGAACAAGGGAGCTCTACGGCATAAGCTGAGAGCCAGCTGGCTGTTAGCTCGAGCTGTAGCGGCTCCTACACTGAGGTCCCTGGTTCAAATCCACCTGGTGGTGGTTACAGATGTGCAGTGAGCAAAACTACCCTATCCTGGGAGACTTGTCTTGGTTACAACAATCTTGTGGCTCCCTGAGATGAAGAAGGGCTGCTTATGTGGCCCCTCTTCCTATCCTAGGTGGCCCCTCACAGGTATAACACCTAGCAACAATATTCCTGTAAGCATTGGCCATCATAATTACAACAGGCGCAGAACCAAGAAGGCTTCTGTGGCTCCAGAGAGGCAAGACAAAGCTTGGCCCTTGCTTTGTATTCACGATAACAAACAAGTGATGTTGCCATTGGTGACTGGCCATTAGCCAAAGCTAGAGGAGGGAGGTTTAGGGAGCACGTTCCCAGTTCACCCTGTTGTCTTTGCCTCCGTTACTTCCCCCACCCCAGCCTTAGAGACAATATCACTGCTATTCCATGGCTCGCTACAAAGTTCACCCAAACAATTCTTCTTTCTCAAGATTTTATCCTCTTTGGTCTCATGCTGGGAGCCGGTTCCTTATGCTGACACACACAACTTGCAATCATAATTTAGCTAGGTCTCGTATAGGCCTGTGTTTCTACTGGTTGGGCCAGTCTCTCGCTATGTGTTTGTGCGACTCCCGGCGCTATGGGGGCCCGATCCTGCCTGGAGCCTCTACGTGCATTTATGCAGAGCATATTGGCATTGGCTGCCCCTCCCCATGTGAAAAGGCCTCACATTGGTCTTTGGCGGGTTTCTTTAGGCTATAAATAACCGGCATTCCCCACAGGCCCCAAATGCCATGCAAATCCCAGAGGCTGCAGTGCCGTCAGCAGGGGGCGCCGAGGTTTGCCCCCTCAGAGACGTGTCAAACGTGGGACTCAATTGGGTGTCCACCCCGCAGACGGAGCACTGTCTGGAAATGGAATCCGGCCGGGGGCGTTGAGGGCCTCTCAAAACACACCATGTCTTGTCTGCCTGCAGGGGGAGTGTGCGTGGCCCAGTCGGTCAAGATCCCTCGGGAGCCCAAGGCGGGCGAGTTTGATAAGATCATTCGCCGTCTCCTGGAGACCTCCCACGCTCGGGCCGTCATCATCTTTGCCAACGAGGACGATATCAGGTGAGGGGAGAATGGGGTGAGGGGCAAATTGGAAGATCCTTCCCACTCCTTCAGCCTGGCAGGAATTAATCTCATCCTCAGCATGGTGCCTCCCCTGTGTTGTGATTTGCTGCATACTGTATATAATTATAATGAGAAGAGTGAAGGCTAATGGTTAGAGCAGCAGTCTGGGAGTCAGGGGTCTATTCCTGACTTTGCCACTGACTCTGTGTGACCTTGGGCAAGTCATTTACACCCATGTGTCCACAAGGGGCTGCTAGTTTTGGGGGGCTCCATTTCTGGGTGCCTAGCCTGAGTCCCTTAAAAACAGACTCTGTTCCCGCAGTACAGTGGGGAGCTGCGACAGATGAATCAAGGTGACATCCTGTGGTTTACGTTGTTTATGGAGCCTAATGATTCGCAGTGATTTACACCTGATTTTTGTAAGTGTCTAATTTATTAATCAGCAAACATTATGTAAATATGAGTAAACTGGGATTTTTAAAGCCGTTTACATCAGATATGGAAATGATCAAAGTTTTTTCCCTCCCCCTCCCTTAATAGAAATGTCTGAAAACCTGACATTTGCGCTCGCTCGCTTCTGTGCTGAGGAATCAGGGATTTCCTCTGCCGTGTAAATGGCAAGCACCATGCAACAGGGGTTTGTAAACATTTACTCGTGCAAGGGGTGTGTGCACACTGGGGAATTACATCCTATTAACACTCATCAACACACACAAACATCCCTGGAAAATGCAATTCTCTGTAGCAGCAGCCTGATCCCTACGGCTGGTCAGACTCAGCTCTGTGACACCGGAGGAATTAGTCTGACCTCAGTGGTGTGGCTTCAGATTTACAGCTGGGTGAATGGGATCAGTGACCAGCTCCTGGCCTACTGTTTAGCAGAGATATATGCAGCACCAGTTTGCCTGTTCTTTATGGGCCAGCTGCCCCACTGGTGTAAATCAGAAGAGCTCCATTGACATGAATGTGGCTGCCCCATGTACACCAGCTGAGTTGGCCCAGGCATGAGTGTTTAACCCTGTCATAGTGCACCTGCCTAGCACAAAAGGGTGCTGGTCTTTCACCAGAGCTCATGGGTACCAGGGTCATTCAAAGGGAGCCTAAATTAATCATTTTCATTAGGATTGTGGTAACGCACAAGGCCCCATTTGGGGTTGGAGCCTCGTTGAGATAGGGGCTAAACTCAGGAAAAGACACCAAGTAGTTTTTAAGGACCAGATGAGCTGGTGCTATGTGGTAGAACTCCATTCATTGGCCTAACATCAATTTACACCCACTCAGAGCAGGTCCTATACAATGTTTTCTCTAAGCTGTGCAACTTGCGCGGCTGCTCAGGAGAGATTCAAATGCTGCCCAGCTAATTAGCAACCACAGCTGGCAGCAGTGGATCGCATGTGTAGAAACTGGTGGTGCACATCACCACATGCCTCGGCGCACAGAACAAAATTTATTACACACATGCACGGAAAGGGCAACAGAAGCAAATCCGCAGTCGGAGAAGCGTGCTTCAGCTGCCTCTGATTCCCTCTCAAACCTACTTGATCTGAATTCCCTGCCTGGGCTGTGATTGTGCCGTTTGCTGTTGAGCCTCCCCGCTTGTCACCGGACCGGGGGGCAGCCAGCTCTGGGCGCTAGGGAAATGGCCATGCAGCAAGGAGTGCTGATTGGCCGGGCCCGCGTCACAGATGTTCAGCATCCCTGCGGCTCTGTGGAGTGTGGCTTTTTAAAGAAAATATAATACTGCCATCTGGACTGGGGTAGCGAGTAATTAAATCGCTGACATAGGAGGTGTGAGTCATAAATCTGCCTTTATGTTTAATGAGTAACAACTGGTGTGTGTGTGGGGGGGTAAATTCTCTTCCCAACAGTGCACCTACAGCTCTATCCACCCCAGGGAAGTCCGTCTCAGTTACGTCGGTGAGTTTTGGGGCAGGTTCCCCGAGTTAGCGGAGCAGCGCTGGGGCGGAGCGAGAAGAATGTGATGAGGACAGGACGGGACAGGATAGAAGCATGGAGATCTGTGGGCCTGTTAGAAGAGCTTAGACAGGCAGAGCTGGCCGGATGCTGAGCGGTGCCGAGCGCTGGAAGGCACAGGCCTTCAGCACTGCTGGGGATCCAGCCCTCCAGGGAGTTGGAGAGAACAAAGAAGTTGCCTTTTAGAGGCGTGGAAGCTGAAATCAGCGAGACCAGGCCAGAGCTTCCGGGGCTGTACAAACACACGGAGGATTGGCTCTGCCCCACACGCCTTCCAGCGCGCTTGAGCATCATGCAATGAAATCGTGGGGTGGCCCGTTTCCAAGGAGTCCCCCCCCCCCCCGCTGGGGTCCAGCAGCCCGGCTCTGCCAGGCCGCTGATTTCAGCGGAAGCATGCCAGTGAGTGCCAGGCTGGGGAGAGAGCGAGGGTGCTGAGTATCGAGGGCAGAGCGTTCTGTCGCTGGCAGCAGGGCAGTGGTTGGCTGCCCGGGAGGCATTCGGGTTCCGGAGGCATTCGAGTGCCCAGTTCAGGGTCTGCCCTGGCAAGAACATACGTCTCGCTCCGGCAGCTCACGAGGCTGACCCGAGCTGCCTCCCTGCACGCACGGAACCTCCTCCTCCGCGCTGGAGCCTTTCCAGCCTGCTGCTGCGTAACCTGATTTTTTTGCCTAATGTGCAGTAATTAAGGGGGGAATTGAATTACCTGTCAGCCAGTATGCAAATGGGGCTGGAGAGCCAGACGCGCACAGCTCTCGCAGGAGGACGCGAGGGAAGTGCAGCTGAATGGCGGTGGCGGGGGCTGGGCCAGCTGCACACTCTGTCGCTCAGCTGGGGCCGGGGTGCGGTTCATGCTGCTGCTCCAGTTCACCCTTCCTGGCTGCAGCATGCCCCTAAGCCCCCCCGCTTATTGGCTCGCTTCTCCCCATGGCTGTGGCCTCCTGCCCGCTGTCTTCATGCGACACAAGCATCACCCCCATTTCCATGCTCTGTGGGTCAGGGATGTGCCTCTCTGGCATGCACCCCCCTTTCCCACACAGCTTCTTCTCTTCTCCTTCCTTGCCTCCTCCTGGCGTTCCCCTTGTGCCTCACTTGCTCCCTCCACCCTCCCTTTTGGCTTTCACACATGCCCCCATCCCTCCTGCCTTAGCCTGCCTTCCTCCCCACCCTGTGCTGCAGGCTTGGTTAGAATCACAGGGCAGCCGCCAGTGGAACGACAGGGCAGGGTAAATTATTCAGTGATTCTTCCACTGATTGCCTGACGCTCTGCAATATTTAATAACTCTCTTGCCTACAGCGTTTCCCTGCTTAGATACCAGGGGTGTCATTCACCCCAGCCCTGTGACTGGCACCGTCCTTTCCAACATGGCAGGGTGGGGACCGTTCTCTCTGGGCGGCACATCTTTCTTTGCCTCCCCATCTCCTGCACCCTCTGTGCCCATGCAGTGCAGGGCCGGGTCTCCGTAGGACAGGGAGTGAAGTCTCACACCTTTTCCCTTTGCAGCATGAGAGCCCAGCAGCCAGAGATAGGTAGGAAGAGGGAATCGGGTGGCAAGACAGGAAGGGGGTAGACTGAAGGCATGGCAGCAAAGGAGATGGAGACAGAGCGAGGAAGAGGGTGGAGGAGGCGCAGCTATATCAAGCCCTGTACCACAGCCCCTCTGTGTTACATCTGCTCTATGCCCTCCATTCACTTTTCTTGTTATTCTATTGGGTACACCAGTCGGGCTGGTGAGAAATGCAGAAAATCAGACCCTTTGCAGGTGTCAATTCGGGCGGCCTTCATGCAGCATAGCATGGGTTTGACTAGAGGTTCGATTTGTTAACCGGACTAGTTAAACCAGTGTCAAAGGCCGTGGGACGCTCTAATTTTGGTTTAAACAGGTTTGTTATGATGTAACTCAAGGCTCAGTCTACCGACACCGTTCCCCCGTGTCACTGAAGGTGTGGTAGGAAACGTAGCTCAACTAAAATCAGCTCTTCCTAAAACAAAATTAGACCGTCCTCCCAGACGGTTGCACCGGTTTAACAATGGCTGATTCAAACCAGTGCACACGTTTGTCGAGACCAGTCACAGCTCTGGTGAAGCCAATGGGACTAGTTTGATTTACAGCAGCTTAGGATCTGGCCCACAAGGTGAAACTCTGCTCCCACGGAGGGTTGCAGAGTGAGAGCAGAAGTTGCCTAATAACACAGCTCCCGCCCAGTATTCCCTGTAAGTTGTGTGCTCGGACGGCCACTCAGAATAGATTCAAATACCCCCCCACAACTGATTAGCACAGCACCCACAGCCAGCAGGATGCGTTTCTGTTGTGGTGCACATCCACATGTGCCTTGGAGCATGTAACAACATTTATTCTGCACATGAATGGAAAAAAATTAGAGGGAACATTACTCCCACCTTAAATGTTTTAAAATGTATTTGTTCGATAATTTTTCTAGGGGATGAAGCTAGACACACTCCACGTTAGTTACCATGATTTCTAATTTTCCCCTCCAGGACCGGTAGACAGTCTGGCTTTGAGGCTGGGGTCAATCCAAAGCCACTGGGAAAACCTGGAGGTAGAAACTGGGTGCCAGAGCCAGGGGATCAAAGCGGAGGCCATAGTCAGCCAGAGCCAAGTGTCAGACTGAACGGTAGGACGGGAGCAAGCAAGGTAGCAGACAATGAGGGATTCGAGGCAGAGGCAGGACAAAGGCAAGGCTGGGTGGGAGGCAGGAGCACCAGGAGCAGGCACAGTGGTAGGCGACGTGAGTACTGACAAGCTGGTGAACTGCTGTCACTGGCGTATGAGTCACTCAGATTACATGGCTAATCAGGCAGCCCACTGCAGGCCAGCTGGATTGATGAGGCTGCGGAGAGACTAGCTCTGCTGGGAGTCCTAATTTCTGACTCACAACCCCCCATCCTTTGTTGCTTTCTCAGGCCAGGTCTAGAGGAGACTCGGAAAGTCAGCTTAAGGTATGCAACCCCAGCTATGTAAATAACATAGCCGAGCTTGGCGCCAACGTCACAGTTTGTTCCCATCCGCTTCCTTTACTCCTCACGACTGAAGAGGAGCAGTGCTGGGGGGGAGGATGGGGTGCCCTCAGCATTCAATTTAGCAGGTCTTGACTAGACCTGCTAAATCGAGCACCAGAAAATCGATCTCTGGCACTGTACATATAGACGTGACCTCAATTCCTGGGCCTTTCCAAAAGTCGGTGATGCGCAACGTCCCAACCTGCTAATTAACAATGGGATGTTTATTTTGCCACATACCTGTGTTCCTTTAATCGCTTTTTAATCAACAGCAGTATTGACAGGCTCTCCTTTGCTTCCTCATAAAGAGGACAGGTCATTGACTCCGAGCGATCCGGGTCCTTTGGGGCAAGCAACCAATGTGTTTTTTAATGTAGCTAACTGCAGATGTATAGATCTAGGAATGAAGAATGCAGGCTGGACCCACAGGGTGGGGGACTCTAGCTTGGGCAGCAGCGATGCTGAAAAGATTCGGGGGTTGCGGGAGCTATTCAGCTGAATGTGAGCTCCCAGTACAAAGCTGGGGCCAAAACCGCAAATGTGATCGTGGGATGCCTCTCGGATAGGCGTGCCAAGGTTATTTTGCTTCTGGCGTGGCCGCCGCTGGAATGCTGGGACCAGGGCTGGCACCCACAGGTCAAGATCGATGTGGCTAAATTGGAGAGAGTTCAGAGCAGAGGCATGGGAAGGATTATCGGGTTAGCCAACACGCCTTGTATTGATTTGGGCACCCCATCCTGCGCCTGCTTCCTGTCTCCCATGCAAAGACTCCGAGCTCAGACCCTGCTGTTTGGCTTTTCTCTGTGCAGGAGGGTGCTGGAGGCAGCGAAGAAGGCCAACCAGACCGGGCACTTCATCTGGATGGGCTCAGACAGCTGGGGCTCCAAAATCTCCCCTGTGCTGCACCTAGAGGAGGTGGCCGAGGGATCTGTCACCATCCTGCCCAAGCGCGTGTCTGTCAAAGGTACGTGGGGCCTGAGGCTGCAGCTCCCCCGGCGGCGGCTTCAGGCTGGAACGGGGGTGGAGCTAAGAGAGGGGGTGGAGCTTGGGTGAGTATTGTCACTCTCCACTCCCATTTTGAACCCTCCCGCTTCCCTGACAAAGGGGTCATCAGGTACCTTCCCTGTCTCCTCTTCTGTGCTGTTCCTCCCCATTCCCTCAGCCCTGCTGCTCCTCCCTCCTGCCTCTCTGGCATGCCACTCACCTGGTTACATCCTGGCATCTCTCCTCTTTCCCCTTTGCAATGGCACCAAGCAGAGGCAAACCCTGAATCCATTGCACACGCACACACACCATGGTGCCTCTGCGGGAGTGCCCGGAAGACGGAGAGCCCCCTTGATTATGCAGTGACCTTTGACCAGCGAGGAAAACAATGCAAGTTCCTGTCCAGGTGGCAATCTAGGTACAGTCAGAACTGGATTTCGGTGCCCAGCTGGCAGGGATACTAGGCATAGTCCCTCGGGGAGGAGGAAGAGCTGGAACTGGATTTCGGTGCCAGTCCCTTGGGGAGGAGGAAGAGCTGGAACTGGATTTTGGTGCTTCTCCAGAATGCAGAGAGCCTTCACCTGCCTCTCACACGTCCCCGGCTTAGAGAAAGCCTCCCTGAGAGTCCGGTAATTATTCTGAAGCACTGGGGTGAGTGATGGATCCCAGGTGAAGTGGATGAAAGGCTGGCAAATGGAGGTATTATCAGGGCAATTGCAGTGAATTATTCAATAAAGCATCATCGTTCCTTTGCCGTGGGTAGGTGGCTGCTGTGCGTTAGCAGAGGGCATCTCCGCACAGGGGGAGAGCAGCACAATTAGCAGGCCCGTTACCTTAGTGCCAGGCTCCCCATCCAGGAAAGCCTTAGCACTTGGGAAGCTTACAGCACCCCCCTCTTCCATGGCCAGCCTGCTCAGCCTTATAGGGCCAACCCCTCTTGTTAGCTCCCTAGAGATGGGGGTGGGAGATGGCTCCAGCTCTGACTCTGCCCTGCTCAGGAACAGGCATGGATCAGCATGGCCCCATTGCCAGCAACACTGTGGATCTGGCCTTTTAAAAGGCAGTGTTGTCCAGTGGTTAGAGCACAGTTGGGACACCTGGGTTCTACTGGTGGCTTTCCCACTGACTGACTGTGTGTTCCCCTTCCTCTGCCCATCCCTATTGTATGAGAGAGATGTTGATGCCTGTCTTCTCCGGCGGGTAGGAAGACTAGTGAAGGAGTGTTTGGAAAGCGCTGTGAGATACCTGGATAGCAGGTGCTGTGGAAGGACAACATAAATCTGACAGGAGTGACTGCCCACCACTGAAATGCAGCCACCTCTGGGATGGAAGGGGGCAGCCATTTTGAGATGCTTAGAGTATAAAATGAAGGGGGATTTCCTACCCAGCTGATCCCTCAGTGAGACGCGATGTGAGCCGTGCCTGGCTGTTTGGAGCCTGCCGTGCCCTGCTCCGGCCTCCCGGGCTGAGCCGTGCTCCATTCATTATGCGCACAAGAGCACGTGCTGCACAAGACGTAGCGCACACTTGCCAGCGCTGCAGGAAGCCCCGGGAGCCACTCCCCCTGCTCCTACCTGTGGGGCAAGGCAAAGAGAGAGGCGCATTCAGAATGGAGTGGCTAGGATCTCCCCTTCCAGGAGCAAACGCTAGAGTGGCCCTGGCGTGGGCATGAAGAGAGACTGGCGTGGTCCGCTCACAGAGGGTATGTCTACACTAGCCCCTTAGATTGATCGAGGGAGGCTAATGAGGGTGACCGAAATTGCAAATCAAGCCTGGGATTTAAATATCTACATTCCTCCTGCAATGAGGTTTACTAGCTAATTCGATTTAGGGGCTTTAAATCGGAATCCCGTTTCATTGCCGCGTGTTACTTCGGGCTAGTCAATTTCTAAAATGGCGACCGGCCGGGAACATGCAAATCAAGCGCAGGGTATTTAAATCCCGGGCTTGATTTGCAATTTCGGTCGCCCTCATTAGCCTCCCTAGATCGATCTAGGGGGCTCGTGTAGACGTACTCAGAGTGACTTTCAAAGCAAATCGGTTCTTTGGCTCGTCAGCGCTAGAACCAAAGCTCTCAAGAGCCTGTTTCTCCCAGTCCCTGCCGGGAACTGGTCACATGCCCTGAGTCTGGCTCCACTTTTAAGGTGAGCTAAACCAAAGCCCTGGCTCCTAGCACTGCCCTGAGCTTCAGCAAACCCTGGTCTGATGGCTTGAGTACCCCTAACCGAGGGGATCGATGTTATAGGAACGCTTGTGGTCACTGCGTCCTGCTTTGTACCCCTTTGCCCCTCCCATGGGTGGGCGGTAGCTCCCTGGTACGTTTAAGATCCCAATTGCCTTTCCCTTGTTTGTTCCCTGCTCAGCGCAGGGAGACAGATCTTGGCAGGGCACATCATGCTCCCTGCTGTCCATCGCTAACCCGGCTTCCGGCCAAACCGCCACGTGCATGGATCCGATGAAAGGTTCTGACGGCTGCTCCCCAAGAACGCTGATTCCCTCTGCCCTTTGCAGCACGGGCTGCGGAGCAGTGGGGGGAAAGAGCCAGGCGCACGGGGGCGGGGCTCAGTGACCCTGCATGCCCAGACGTGAGTGGGTTTTGTTGCTTCTTTGAATCAGCGCATGGGGCAGATGTCCCCACAGGGCTCTGCCCCTCGCCGTGGGGCCCGAGGAGCCACTCCTGTCTCACGGGAGGGAGGCATCACGTGCACTGCGGTGATAAGACAGTGCCTGCCCCCCAACCTGGTGCTTCAAGGGCAGGCACAACACAAAAGGGAAGCAAAGAACCAGGACCTGACTTATATCACTGGGCTGGGATGCCGCGGCCTCGTCGCTATTTCCAGCTGGCTAACATAGGCAGCACGAGTATGTGTCTGTCTGCCCACACAGCGGCGAGGTAGACGTCCTCTGCCATGACAAACGGGAGGCTGCATGGGGTGGTAGGTCAGGTGGAGAGCTGGGAATTGCAAGGCCAGGTTCTATTGCTGCTCTTGTCTCGCATTGTGACCTGGGGTGAATTGCTTTTCCTTACGGTGCCTGATTTCCCCCTGCTGTAAAACGGTAACACGGTTGCAGCTCTCCCTTTGGGAGGTCTAGGGATGCACCATGCTGCGTAGCAGGGCTGGAAGACTTGAACACATGCAGAATCCACCATCCGGGCCAAAGAGCATAGTCAATGCCTTGCTCCATACAACATCTGCCCCAGCTGAGGGCTCTTGGCAAAAGAGAAGAGCAACAAAAATGATGAAAGGTCTAGAGAACATGAGCTATGAGGGAAGACTGAAAAAAAATGGGTTTGTTTAATTTGGAAAAGAGACGATTGAGAGGGGACCTGATAATCGCTCTCAAGTTCCTAAAAGGTTGTTATACGGAGGAGGGAGAAAAATTGTTCTCCTTAACCTCTGAGAATAGGACAAGAAGAAATGGGCTTAAATTGCAACAAGGGAGGTTGGACAGTAGGAAAAACTTCCTAACGGTCAGGGTGGTTAAACACTGGAATAAATTGCCTAAGGAGGTTGTGGAGTCTCCATCCCTGGAGATATTTAAGAGCAGTTTGGATAGATCTCTATTGGGGATGATTTAGACGATGCTTGGTCCTGCTGCGAAGGCAGGGGACTGGACTTGAGGACCTCTCGAGATCTCTTCCAGTTCTAGTGTGCTAGGGTTCTATGAGTCAGAAAGGGAAAAAATCAAATCCCTAAATATCTATGGGGGGATAAAATGGCTTGGTAGCAGTTCTGCAGAAAAGGGTCTGGGAGCTATAAAGAATAACACAGTGAATGAGCAAGGCTGTATGGACAAGGTTTTTATAAAGAAGAAGGTGAACAACTGTTCTCCATGTCCACCCAGGGTAAAACAAGAGAGCTACGTTTGCAGAAAGGGAGATTGAATTTAGCTCTTTGGGAAAACTTTCTGACTCAAAGGATCCTTTAGTGCCAGGGCAGATGATGTAGGGAAGTGGTAGAATCCCCATTATGGGAGGGTTTTAAGAACAGGTTGGACGAACACCTGTCAGGAATGCTCTGGGTTGACCCGGTCCAGCGTTAGCTCAGGCTGGATGGGGTACATGACCTCCTGAAGTCTCTTCCAGACCTAGACGTCTGTGATTCTGTGAAATATCAGGTCCAGGGCTGCTTCTCCCCGGGGTTACACACGAGGGGCAGATCCTTGGCTGATGTAAAACATAGTGGTCCCAGTGAAGCCCGTATTACATCAGCCCACCCAGAATCCTCCCCTTTCCGAGGGTCCAGCTGGTTTCAGGTCCCTTCCCACCTTCAGTCTAAGCTACAAGTTGGCCTAATGGTCTAAGTATCGCCCCAGTGCATGCAACTCTGGGGTCAAGGCTTGCAGAACGCTGAGACAGGAGGCATTTCTGCAGGCTTTCAGCTCTACTGCAGGGAGTGACGCGATGCCTCTTCCCAGCTGCTCTGTTGCCCACTGGCTCCTTGTGGTTCCCTGGAATGGTCCTTCACTCAGTTTCCTCTCCAGCCCGTTCAGACCCAATTCCCGACAGCTCTGGGATTTCACGCGTCCACCTCCCGTTTCCTTGGCAGGCTTTGACCGCTACTTCTCCAGCCGGACGTTGGACAATAACCGGCGGAACATCTGGTTTGCTGAGTTCTGGGAGGACAACTTCCACTGCAAGCTGAGCCGGCATGCGCTGAAGAAGGGCAGCAACATCAAGAAGTGCACAAGTAAGAGATGGGCGGCAGGCGGAAGGGGTTCGGGGCCGGAAGGAGTGGGAGAAGGGGCTGTTTGTGAGCATGGAGCAAGGGGAGCTCGCTGCATTACAGTGGGCGGTGCTGGTGCGCTGGGAGGGACGTCATGAGACTCTCTGTGAAAACAGGTGGGAGCAGCCTGCTGGGATATCGGGAGCAGCAGGAAGAGGCCCAGTGGGGGTTGTCCTTGGTGTTCACGGCTCACTCAGCTGGGTAAGGGGAGACAATGCATGGGCAGAGCTCTCAGCACCAGACATCTGGGGTCCAATGGGGCTCATGCAACAGGGCCTAGATTTTCATCATATGACCCATACAGCTCGGTACGTATCTGTGTGTATCATGAAGCCCACCCTTACCCATGAGATTGGGCTTAGCCTCCCATCGCTGACAAACTCTGCCCTACAGAGGATCAGAAGCAAAGTGCTGGAAAGGTGATTTGAGAGAGGGGTAGGTGGGGAAGGAGGGAATCTAGTGTAGCACTAGCTGGGGGTGCTGTAGGTGCGGATTGAGGTGCATTGACAGAGCTGAGTGGGGAGCCCAGGGTTGGAATAGCAGGGGTGGTGTAGATCAGGATTAGGGTGCCCTAGCAGAGCTAGACAGGATCCGAGGATGTGACTCGCCAGGGGCACTGTGCTCAGGATTATGGTGCACAGGCAGGACCAATGTTCCCTCTAATTTGTCCATCCATGTGCAGAATACATTTTGTTCTGAGCACGGAGGCCTGTGTGGATGCGCACCGCCAACAGGAACGCACGCTGCTGCTTGTGGGCGCTCTGCTAATCAGCTGGGCATCGTTTGAACCTCTCCTGGGCGGCCGCTCAAGCGCTCCGCTTACCGGGAGCACTGTAGGACTGCCAGGGACAGGAGAAGCAGGCACGTCTCGTACGAGTTGGAGCCCTCTGCCAATGTGTGGGGAAGGTGTGAGGCTGGAACAGCAGGGACAGCGCTGGTCAGGACTGCGGTGCATTGGCAGAGCAGCGGGGGATCAGGACAGGAATAGCAGGGGGTGTGACAGGGAAGGATGGGGCTATGTTCTGTGCTGCATGGGGAAGCCATGGAATCCCTCCTCCTATGAGCATTAAAATAGCAAACAGAGCACTTAACTAATCGCGTCCCTAGAGTTCCTTTCCCGGAGCCCCTCTGCTCCCTGGAGGCCTTTTGGCTCTCTCCTTCCTGCCTAACAGCCCTGCTGTACGCATTAATTTCCCTTGGCACTAACCCTTCCTCTTGTTTGCTCCTAAGTTTCTGTTACGCCATCAGCCGGATTCATCTGCATGGCTCCTTGCTGAGTCAGCGGCGTCCTCTTTTTTTATTCCTTTGAGAACCTATGTAGGAGGGTTTGTTAAAAAATGCATCCCCAGGAGTTAGCGAGTTGGCCTGCGCAGGGAGGCCAGGCCCTGGAAACATATCTCCATCCCGCTAGGTCATTGTAGAAAACATTCCCGACATTCAGATTGCTCAGCGTGGCTTTAAGAATGTTCCCTTTGGTTTCCGCTTGCAGTCCCTCAGATCTGCTTGGTTCGGCTCCTTATTGGCTTTGAGTCTCTTCTGAAATGGGAGCTCACAGCGGGAATCTCTCTAGCCCCCTCTGCGCCTATTCAGTGGTTTTCCACTGACAGTGCCACAGCGGGAGTTGGTTCTGTCTTTCAACTAGGCCGTGCATCGAAAACGGCCCAGGAGAGCAACCCAGATCAGACAGACGTGGGCTGTTTCCATCTGGTGATGCATTGGGAACCATTGTGAGCGTCGTCTCATGTTTATACGCACTGACGCATGGAGCTCACGGTCTTCTCTGTGGACACAGACTAGGTGTAACCTCCTAGCGGAACACACAGCTCTGCTGTAACCAGTGTACATCACACTCTGCGCGCCACACCCAGGCGTGCTTTTATAGGCGCTCACTCAGATGTTGGCATCCGCGCTTGTTTGCACAGCCCCTCGCCCCCCTGAAACACGCAGGCCTTCTTTCTCCCCCCTCATCCCCCCGCCATGCCCTGCTACATACATCACCCCCCTCTCCCTCTGCTTCCTCCACACAGAGCCCATGTGGCGCTTGGTGCTAGTTCTCGGGATCCCAGGCCCACCACGGTTCAGTGTATGCAAATAAGAGGCATGTACTTTACCATGGGCGGTGGATGAAAGTAGGGTTGGGGGAGACATATTTCAAGCCCCACCCTCAGCTCCGCCCCTTCTGCCAAGGGACTGTCCCCCACAGGAGCCAAGCCACCTCTCCCTGCTGCACCACGGGGAGGAGGGGCAGCGTGCTCCCCTCCCCACCATGAGGCATGCAGCTCCAGCCTCCCCAGCCCCAGAGCACGGGGGAAGGTGGGCACTGGGGGCAGAAACACTGACCTCATTATGCCTACAGTTAAAATGACAGTGAAGACGTAACCTTTACCTGGGGATAGCAGCTCCAGTTCAACCTCTGGCTCAGCTAGGGTACGACTTCACTGCATCTATCGGTGAGCCCCTGGCTTGGATAGGCAGACTTGTGTTAGGGGGTTTGCACCAGCACGCCAACATTAGCAGTGTGGATGTTGCGGCTCGGGCTCTGAAACCCAGCCAAGCCCCTAGGCTTGAGAGCGCCAGCGCCAGCGCCCATACTACTATTTCCAGCCTGTGAGCACGAGTCCTGTAGACACAAGTCTGCCTGCCTGGGCTGGGAGGTTCCCTGTTCATTGCCAGAGGCAGTGTAGACGTACCCTTATTAGCAGGACCTTGAGCTTCTAACCTGAGTTATAAGCCAGGCTGTCGTGTCTGGGCTGCTGCTGTAACCCTAGTTAGTTACCTCAAGTTCAGACACAATGTCAGTGCAACCTTTCGAGCCAGGCTGAGCTTTTTACATTTTCTGTTTTCTTCCCAAATATTTAACCTCCTTACACATTTCCAGGGCTTTTTTTGCGATGGTACTGCCCGGTACACAGTTCTGGCACCCCCAGACGCAATACTGGCACCTCCAGTCATAGCGCACCTGGAAAGAATGGAGCATACCGGCACCTCTGTACACAAATGTCCGACAGTCGTGTCTTAAAGGAGTCACCCCGGCTTTTTTTTTTTTTTTAACAAAAAAAGAGCACTGCTTATATCCCATTGCAGGCCAGAGACCACATGACCCCGGTTTCTGCCTGTGATAGGCTGCGGCTCTGCCTGCCTGGAGGCCTTTGGGTGGAAGCAGCTCGTTTCCTGCATGAATCGATCAAAAACTTCTCGATGTAATGGCACCTCAGTCAATAGGGCTCTGCCACATTCTGGCATCATGTTAATCCCTAAGCACAGTGCAGAGGGGGCTAGAGATGGGGAAGGAACACCTCACCCCCGGCTGGAACTCCATCTAGCCACATTTCTCCAAGCGAGGCGCCTTCAGCACAGACACTGCTGGTCCTAGAGCTGTTCTGTGATGGACTGGTGCATGTGCGTGTATAGTGTGCCGTTTGGGCCTGAGCAGAACCTCGCCCTCGCGCTGGCACTGTCTAGTTCAACAGCAGCCTCCATAGAGAGGCCTAAGGCTGAATGGAACATGGAGCCTGCACACCCGCTTAGAGGTGGGTCTGGGCTGCAGAATGTGGGCACGGCAGGTGGGCAAGTGTCCTCTGCAGGGCTGGGAAAAGGTCACTTCCTCAGCTCTCCCCCTCCCAAGAGGCAGATAATCCCAGTGGTGAATGCACCCCTGGTCTTCAATCTGAATCTGTTTGGCTTCCGCTTCCAGCCGTTGGTCTCTTCTGAGCTAGCACAGGAGGGTCTACCACAGTCCGCTGTCAATTCTTTGTTTCCCCGCCTGGGTACTTACAGGATGTGACAAAGTCTCCCCTTCAGCCTTCTCTTTGTTACAGGAAGCAGATCAAGCTCCTTGAGTCTCGCACTAATTCTTCAATCAGTCCCGTGGCCCTTCTCCGAGCCAGCTCCAATTTTACAATGTCCTTGAACTGTAGACCCCACACACAGGTGACTTGTGTGCATTCGGGACTTGTGTCATAGAATCATAGAGCTCAGACCTCAGAAGGTCATCAAGTCCAGCCCCCTGCTGTAGGCAGGAGCAATCCCAACTAAATCAACCCAGCCAGGGCTTTGTCAAGCCAAGACTTAAACACCTCTAAGGATGGAGACTCCACTACTTCCCTAGGGAACCCATCCCAGAGCTTCCCCAGGCTCCTAGTGAAATAGTTTTTCCTAATATCCAACCTGGACCTCCCCCACTGTAACTTGAGCCCATTGCTCCTTGTCCTCCCATCTGTCACTACTGAGAACAGCCTCTCTCCATCCCCTTTGGAACCTCCCTTCAGGAAGTTGAAGGCTGCTATCAAGTCCCCCCTCACTCTTCTCTTCTGCAGACTAAACAGACCCAAGTCCCTCAGCTTCTCCTCATAAGTCATGTGCTCCAGCCCCCTAATCATTTTGGTTGCCCTCCGCTGGACTCTCTCCAGTGTGTCCACATCCTTTTTGTAGTGGGGGACCCAGAACTGGACACAATACCCAGCGCCCCCACCAACATTTTAATTGTTAAATGGGGTGCCCCTCCTCCCCCTCCCTGTTCCTCTGGGTGACTCTCCCTTTACCTCCTCCTCTAGCAGGCACCCAGTCACTTATGATCCCAGAACTGGAGGCTCTATTCGAGCAGTGGTCACCCTAGTGCCAACTCCAGAGCTGTACTCCTACTGAAGATGTCCCTATGTATGCATCCCGGGGTCACAGTCGTGCTTTTAACCACATCATGGCACTGTGTTCAGTTGATTATCTGCCATAACCCCCAAGTCTTTTTCGGAGTCCCCACTTCTCAGCATAGCCTCCCATCCTGTAAGAATGGCCAGCAGTCTTTGTTCCTAGATGACGGGATGGACAGTTGGCTGTACTGAAAACTGTTAGCATCCATTTACCAAAATAACCTTTGTTTTGCCCAGCTGGCACCCGGAAAGGCGATGCTCACTCTCAGCCTGTCCGCAGCTGGTGACTCTGAAATCTCTTTCCCCTCCTACGAGGGA